ACTGTAAAAGCAATAGAGGGAAGTAGAAAACCATTTCTTATAAATTGCTGGAGTCTGGCTAGTAGAACACATGTAGTTCTGTATTATTCAGTAGGCAGCTGATAGCTGAGATAAATATTATTTATTCCTTATTTATTTTTAAATGGCATTGTCCTGTGATATGTGCTTGGTTGTGGGCTTATTGATATAAATCTACTAAAATTAGTTTTTTATTATCATCTTGTAAGACAGAAGCAAAACGCTGTTTAAGAAGGAAATGTTGGACTTGCTGGAAAAAGGACTCTTCCGGGTCTATTGAGCACATAGCAGAGCTTAGCAGATAGCATCCATTGAATAATTTCTGGTTGTGGAAGCTGCACAATAATCATAAGCCATTTTTGTGGGTCATTAACAGCTAGAGATTATTTTTAAGGTGATGTTTACAACAGACAATATTTTCTCTCTGAAGCCTATCAAAAAAAAAAAGAAATCTGATTAAAACAGGATCAGAGAACGCACTGAGATGTGCTGTTATAACTTGAAATCTCATTAGACTATAACAAGTTAAAGGCAGGGCAAATTTTATGCTTCAGCACGTTATGAGGATCTTTGACGTTTTCAACCATAAATAATTGGTCCATGGTGATGATTCTCTAGCTAGTTCCTCCTCTTGCAGTACAGTATATTGAAGCAGAGCAATCTGTTGGATGCAGAGAAGCATTTAGCAAACGTCATTATAAGGTAGTAGGAAACTGTTCAGAGACCTCCACTAAAGCTGAAGCTGAATAACTACAGGAAAAGAAACTACAAATTAATGGTCCAATTATACTTGCAACAATTTACATTTAATTATTATTTAATAATTTATAACTAAGAAAGATTACGTGGTGTGTTTCACAGCTGGATTACAGATTTGGAGCAAGCTCTGTATAAATTTAGGAGTATATTTTTTTCCTGGCATAGTCTCAAACTGCAGCTGATGGTGTTATCCTCTGCTCAGTTTGGAAGTGTGTTTAGTTTATTAGTTACCAAATAATGGTAATGTTTTTATTTCTGGTATCACAAAGCAGGAAATTATGTTGCTTCACTGAAATGTTGACAGGTCTGTTTGTTTGTTTATTTTTTTTTATTTTTTTTTTAGATAAACACTAGTATTGTTTTTCTCCTTTTAAAACTGAAGTGGAATAAAGTAGTGATCGTCATTGAAGAAGCTGGGATAAAGTCTGGAACAGACTATTTTGCTCAGTGGTATCTTATTTAAATGAATTGGATCATTCTAAACAAGAAAACCCACCTGTTCAAACAACCTCCAAAGCAACAGAAAACACCCACCAAACAACAAAACAGAACAAAATGAAACAAAAAGATTACCACCACCACAAAAATGAAAACAAATAACAAAAACAAAACAAACAAAAACAAACAAACAAAAACCTAACAACACTACACTTAAAACTTACCTGCTGGAGTCACCAGATCTACACAGAACTCTACTATTTTTTCATTAAAATGTAAACAAAAGAATGAATGTGATTTTCTGTTATAGTTTCTTTTGTTATGCTTGTTTGTTATGTTTTCTTTTCTTAAACTCTGTACAAATCCAGAAATAATGTGTCCCCTACCTTAATCTAGAATATTTTTTTTCACGTGGAACTCTCCAGGGGGACTTCATGTTGAAATTTTCCATCAGATGTCTGAAATAAAACCTTGTTCATCATCCTTTGTTCCCCAGAGTAGTAATGTTAAATAGAGTGTTCTCAAAATTGAATAATATACATTTACTTAAATTACTTGAAATGATAAAAAAAAAAGTAGATACAACAAAATAAAGAAGTAGTTTTTATTCTACTAGAATAAAGTTTTCTACTAGATTTATTTGTAGGCTTTTTGGGTGTGAGTATGAATGTAATTATAGCAATAAGAAGGCTGGTAGACTACAAGTTTCTTTCAAAAATATTAAATGGGCAGTCAAAAGATGAATTAAATTTTTAAATTGGTCCAATCCCCTAGAGATAATATTAGAAAGCTTTTTGATCAGAAAAGCCCTGTGTCATAGAATATTTGCTTTCACTTTTTTTTTTTTCTTCTTTCCCCACTGGGTACATCTACAGCATGCAACACTAGCTTTTTATTTTGTAAGAGTTCATACAGTCCTGCTGTTTTTTCCATCAAAGTTTTCATCTCTTCATGGAAAAAAAAAAAAAAAAGTAATTGGTTGTGGTAGAAGTCATTTGAGGGTCAAAAATCAAGGAAATAGGATGGTTCTAAGTGGGGAGTAGGCATTAGGAATTAAGGTCAACCCTTAAGGAAGAGAGGTCCTGGAAATCTGATGAGCCTTTGGGTCACAAAAGGCAAAGAGCATCTAAGCCATTTGAACTGTTTCTCTTCCTAAGCAAAGTAGATTATACCTTCACCTCCTTACTTCCTCCCAACATTTTGTTTTGATACAAACATGCTTGTAATTATGATGTGATATTTTTTATGTCTCATATGAAGGCAAAGGAATGCTGCTCAGGCTTAGACTACCAGCAATAATAAGCAGCATTAGGTTCTACAGTAAACATTATAAAATGAGAAAAAATGAACCAAAAGCAAGAGAAGGATTACAGATAATTGAGCTTTTATTTTGTATGTAGTAGGCAGATGCTGATCATTGGTGATATGAGGTAGAAAACAAATTTGCTTTCTATAAAAATAGAATTTTGAAGTTGTTTTAAAATCTTAATGGCTGATTTTTTTTTTTTTTTGCATTAATGTCATTATTGTAAATATTTTGTTGCAATTTCTGTAATGCTTTTATTAAAAACCTTACTAAGAAAAAGTCAATCTTTTTTTTTTTTTAAAAAAAAGTATTTTTAGTGAGTGAGAAATTTCATACATCACTTGAATGTTTGCAGTAAGAAAAAGAAAGGGGAGAGAGAGGAGAGGGAGAGGAAGGGCAGAGTCCAATATTTACTAGAAATAAACATTAGGTAAAAATATGAGAGAACCTACAGGGTCACTGTGAAAATAGGGGGCTAAATTCTTTAAAACACAGGTAGGGATGGAAAAGCTCTTTGTGGCACTGTCAAGAAGCTGTGTGAGTGGGATGTTTGCAACCGCTTTGTTTCTCTTTTGTTTAGTTAGGTAACTAAAATCATTTAATTCTGCACTCTGAGAGCAGAAGGAGGAATGAATTTGTGACATTGTGACTTAAGAATCAAATCTATTTACTTCTCCCTGCTTTTTTATGTATATTTGTTTCTTTACGTGTACTTTGTCAGTATTGTTAGAAGTTGCGTGCTATGTGGCTGGCTGGCTGAATAGTGATGGATTCCTAACTCTTGCTGCCAGGTGATTTCTTAAGAAATCTAGTATTGTTCTCTTCATTTTCTTCATTCTGCTTAAAGTAATAAAATAAAATAAAAATAAACAACAACAACAATAATAATAATAAACGGGGCAGGATAAAGCAGGAGCTCACTGGAATGGTGTGCCTCTGGCTTGAATTAGTGACCAGCACCTTGAGGGGCATAGCTGGTTGCTGGCACACATGAAAGCCCATGTCACAACTTCTGTGTTCACCGTGGGAACCAGGTTAAATTGACACTGTAATGGGCTGTAATCAGATCTAGTTTTCCTACTGTAGATATACTGAGAGCCAATTTAGTGTTCTGAGAAGACTGTGGCAGTTTTAGTTTAATTTTAATATCCTGAGAACAGAATTGAGACTGAAGACTGTCAGTAATAGGCTGACTAAAAGTAATTGGTTTGCAGGAAAAAACTTTTTTATTATTTTATTGTATTGTATTGTATTGTATTTTTTACTGATGATCTGTGAGACTTCCTGTAGAACATTTCACAGTCCTAATTTGAAACCAGATACTGCAATAAATTCAAAATCCAGTCTGTGTGTACAGAGCAGAACTAGCAGGACCCATGTCACCCCCAAGAAAAGTTATGCCAGAGGATTCACAAATGAATTCTTGGTTTCACAAGAGATGAAACGTGTTGTCTCAGATTACTTATTTAGTGCTTCCTGGTTCAGTCATTTTTTGTGGTGTTTGGCAGTTCTGACTTATGTGGAAATAGTTTGTGGCCTCTAAGTTAGAACTAGGGATTAATGCTCTTCTGTGAATGTAGGTGAATTGGATGATTATGGGGGCTTGAAACTGATGCTGCCTCACTTAGAAAGCTATATACAGATTTAGCTTAGGTTGACAACGGGTGTGCAGATCCAATGAATATTTTTAGAATGCTATTTTTTGAAGAAAACCTGCAGTGTATGCTCATGTAATTTTTTATGTACGCCTTGCACTAATCATAATTTTGCTATGTGTCCCTTTTTGGAGTTGCTAACTGTAAACTTGGGGGGATGTTCCTGAGAAGGACCAGTGTCTTATCTTTTCCCCATCTTAACTCTGCATTGGATGATTTGCACTGGTAGCTAACACAGCATGATGAGCATAGTCCATAACCTTTTATCCTGTCATGGTTTAACCCAGTCAGCAGCTAAACACCACGCAGCCGTTCGCTCATCCTACCCCCTCCCTCTCTGGGATGGGGGAGAGAAACGGGAAAATAATAATAATAATAATAGTGCTACTAATAATCATGTGTATGAAAGAAGTGATGCACAATACAATTGCTCACCACCTGCTGACCGATGCCCAGCCTATCCCCGAGTAGCCAGTCCCCCACCCCATCTAGCCACCCCTATATATTGTTCAGCATGACCCCAGATGGTATGGAATACCCCTTTGGCCAGTTGGGGCCAGCTGTCCTGGGTCTGTCCCCTCCCAGCTCCTGCTGCACCCCCAGCCTGCCTGCTGGCAGGACAGAGAGAAAGCTGAGACCGTCCTTGGATTGGTGTAAGCACTGCTCTGCAACAATTAAAACATCAGCATGTTATCAGCACTCTTCTCATCCGAATCCAAAACATAGCACCCTACCAGCTACTAGGAGGAAAATTAACTCTATCTTCACTGAAACCAGGGCAATACTGAAGTAGCAAGCCAAAACTTTTGGTTTTCTCTGTTTAGGAGGAAGGAAGACCATCCATTCTGGATTATGCAAGAAGTGGTAGTTGTCCTTGAGGTGGAGCAGACTATTCAGTCAAAATCAGCAAAAAGAGAGAGGAGAACATGCTGCTTTTGAGGATGAAGCTATGCTTCTTCCTGTCCCTTATGCGACTTAAGTGGCTGGAGAAGCAGGTAAGAAAATTTCACAGGTTTCTCAGAAAACTGTTATTTATTTATTTATTTTATCTGATGCATGTATAATATGTAACAAACTTTGCAAGTCTGAAATGGTGGTGTTTGTTCTTCAAGAGACTTGAGGGAGCCACATTGTCTACTCTCACATGAGAGGATGAGCTCTGCCCTTCAGTTGCCTTTCCAGAATGTGGTTACTGTTCTGCAACAGTAACTATTAGACAAGGGGATAGGAAGCCCTCTCCTGAAAGCGTGAGTAAATCCTGTTAGATAAAGTAGTTATCTCATGAATGTATTTAAGAGGTGCTTTCAGGATAGGGATTTATGGTTTTGTTTTACAACACAACAGGAGCCTAACCGTAATCAGGCCATATCTGGACTCTTAGCTCTTTTAATTTCTGTAAGTCACTAACTGACTGGAAATAGCCTGAATCAGTAAACATAAGAAAGTTGATTCATGTTCATATGAAATGTGCTTTTTAATTTCTGCATAGTTATATCCTTATACACTGCTGTGTTAAAAGAAAACCTTATAATACTCTTAACCTCTGTATAAAACATGTAGTTATGTTATCAGAGGCTTTAAGGAACAAAACATTCATTATGTCCAGAATCTTCAAATGCATAAATATAAATATCAGTTTAATGGTTTAGGTTTTACAACTGTGGCGTTGTTCTGTCATGCTTCTGAAATGAGAAAAAAAATTGCTTCTGCTGTTGCTGTAGCCTTGCTGGTTCCTATAGTGCTTTTGGAAGATTTGGAAGATGCTATTTAATTAAATTCAGATTCAAAGAATTATTTTCCTGCAGTTACATGAAACAGTTATGTTCAGGGAAAAACAAACAAACAAAAAAAAAAAAAGAAAAGAGAGAGAGAGAGAATAAGGACACAGGGTGGATAAGGTTGATTTTTGTAAGCTTACAGTATATGCAGCACTTTATAAAAGACATCCTGGAAATGTGATTTCAACTTTTTAAAGCATAACTAGCTTTAGATCAGAAAACCATGACAGGGAGGCTTACCACTCTAAATTACAGAATCAGAATCACAGAATTGTCTAGGTCAGAAGAGACCTCAAGATCATTGAGTCCAACTTCTGACCTAACACTAACATATCGCTAAGTTCAACATCTACACGTCTTTTAAAGACCTCCAGGAATGGTGACTCCACCACTTCCCTGGGCAACTGTCTCAATGCCTCACAACCCTCTCAGTAAAGAAGTTCTTCCTAATATCCAACCTAAACCTCGTGTGGCATAACTTTAGCCCATTCCCCCTCGTCCTTTCACCAGGCATGTGTGAGAATAGAGCAACCCCCACCTCTCTACAGCCTTCTTTAATGTTATTATAAAGAGCAATAAGGTCGCCCCTGAGCCTCCTTTTCTCCAAGCTGAAAATTCAGTCATATAAATTGATTTGCTATTGGGGTTCTTTGGATTTTAGTGATTGCTGTAGAATTTAGGGCAATGTGATCTGGATCTGTTTAGATTTCCAGAAAATGTACTGATTTACCACTGTGTTGGAACTGAAATTGTCAGGAATCCTATTATCTTCTAGGGTGCAAAAGTTGATGTCATGAAAAAGAAAAATATTTAAATTGTGATTTCTCAAGACTTGTCATGGGGGTCTAGTAAAAGATACTTTCTCTCTCTAGAAACCCTGGCTTTCTATGTTTTTCACTAAAGATGTGAATTACAATATTTCTTGTATTCAGCCATTTCTGTAGATGTCATGCTGTTTGTTTATAATTATAAATCTTAATCCTTAAAGTAACTGTTTTGTTATCAAATTAGTCTTTGCACAATATGTGCCACAACAACAGTCACTAGTTCATCAAGGGTCTAAACACTAGGCCCTAAGTTAAGTTGAGAAAAATCCTATTGACTTGAGCTGTATAGGACCAAACCCCAGACCACTAAATTTTCTTTGAGGTTGCTAGTATTTTTAGGGTGGTACCTAATCTTGCCTTAAAATTTTCAAAAGACAGAGAAGTCAAAATATAGTGCTGTTTTAGCACCAAATTCTCTATGAAATAAAGAGAACAGAATGAAGTGCCTGGAGGGGGTGTTTCCAGCTGTCCCTGCATAGTAAATTGTAAGCATTTAGCTGAGGCTGAGAGATTTTTGCTTCTGTACAGGAATAAGCATAGCTCAAACAAAGCATAATTTGCAGAAGTCAGAGCTAACTTAAAAAGAATTATCCAAGATGAGTCATAGAAAGATTAAAAACCTCCATTTTTAGCAAAGCTGATGAGCTGTTAGAAAAATATGACAGCACTGAAATGAAACACTGCCATGCAAGGATTTTAGGGAATCTACAAATTGTAACATGACAAAGCAGATAGCCGCCTTTATCTGTGTAGCTAATGATATGGTAGTAATTTCTGAAATACTGAAGAAACAGGATCTTTTGAGAAACAAGAAATTATTTTATATGAAAAAAATGTAAGCTATGTTTAGCTAAACTTAGCTATAGCATACTGACACTTGAAACACCCTAGAAACTACTTGATTTTGGACTAAAAGTTGAACAGAAACCTATCATGGTCTTAAGTATTTTAACAGGTTCTATGATTTTTCAAAATAATCTACTAATCTACTTTTTTTTTTTTTTTTTTTTTTTAGATAATTCTGGGTTCCAATACTATAGTTCCACAAGACATTTATTTATTTATTTATTCATTTTCTTTTCCCTCTTCTACATGTTGTGAGGGAAGTAATCCATGCTTCTAAAGTAACAGATGAAACACAGTGAGGTGTCAGAGGAAAGGCAAACATTTTAATGGAGTAGGATTCTGGACATTCCAAGTCAGACTCTCTCACAGTCCACCATTATTTCTCTTCAGTGACTTATGATGTATAGCAGATAAGTTAGTATCTATGTACATGTGATTATTTCTAAGCAAAATTTCATTTGTCCTTAAAGCCAGCTTCCTTGTGAAAGTGATTTTCCTTCTTTATGTACTTTGAAACTAAGGAACAGTAGTTCGTGTTGGGCAATTTTTATTGTACCCCTTGAGACAAAATAAATGATTAAATATGCAGAAATTTTTTGAATGTTGCCTTGGACAAAGTCCTACCACCACAAGCGATTCTACAAGGAGTCTGCAAAGATGGAACACAAGTGGATTCCTTATATACACTTGCACCTGCACCAGTCATAGGAACATGAGCATCAGGTGTCTTCACCCACTGTTTGATTCATGTCCCAGTGCCAGTTCTGTTTACAAGAGTGGCCTTTGACCACTAGCTTTCCATGATCATTAGAAAACAACATGGTGGCATTTCTTGCCAACCCTTCCTTTTCCACAGCCTGTACCCCAGCTGTGAACCAGTGAGAGAAGAGTTTTAACGATCCCCTGTACACTCACTCTCATTAACTAGCACCTTCATTGAGGTCTCTTGGAGTCTTTTGCTCTGTACACTGGACTTTTCCTGATTTTAGGAAATCTGCTCAGCACAGTGATTCATAGGTTAGGCAAGAGTCTGAAATGAAGCTGAAAAGAAATTTATAAAGAATAACTACTCAAATTAGGACTCTTCAGCCACAGAATGTAATAATGCCACCTTGACAGTCCCTTTCAACATAGATCTGAACACACTTAAATATATCATAGTTAAACTGCTCTTTTTGTTCAACAAAGAGAAGGTAAAGCTTATTGTTAGTTTCTTAAGAGGTTACAGTATAAGCCTATGTGGTTAAATATATTTTAAAATTACTAATTAGGTTTTCTGTAGTAATAGTTGTAGTTGGAATTATAGAGAGTCTATAGAGAATAATTCATGTGGCCAAGGTATTGTAGAACTTTCATTTTTGTAGACATATGGGACTGGGAAGAATGGTTTGATGTGATCATGTCTGAATATTGCTAAGCAGGCGCTGATGAAAGCAGTTTTTTAGCAGTTTTTTCACTGTTTAAAACAACAAAAAAAAGGCAAACAATGGTTTATGTGAAACACAAGTCTCATTTAAAAGTAAGAGTTAAGAAAAAATTCTGCGATGCCCATAGCAAAAGGAAATGTTCAAGGTCCATCTTCCATGATCATGAGTTAAATGCTGATTTCATAGTGCTTTAACACATCCTTCTCTGATTTTTTCCCTGCTTCACACTGAAGTGTCAATCAAGAAAGCAGATTTAAATTGCCTCTGGTTGCAAAATAAAAACAAGAAAATAGTTTAAAATTTCCAATTAAAGCAGAAAATAAGGAGCTAAGTGTAACTGAAGTAAATTTATCTAAAGTTCTAACAGTTTCTGGTAACCGCAGCTACTGTGTGTGTCATGTTCCCAGTACGAATGCAGCTCCTTAGTTAGCATGATCTTTTGTTTTTGTTTCTTTTTCTTCAGGTCCAACTGAACACATCAAAGCCAATATTGCATTACAGAATTCTAATGAGATGAAGCATAAAACCAATCTAATGTTAAAAAGTTCAACATGCCTGTCTCTCATAGGAAAACTTGTAATTGGAGTAAAAATATTGAAGAAGCAGTGTGTCATTTTTCTATTTACGCTTAAAAAGTTGAAGGAAATGTGTTGAGAATCCACACAGCCTAGAGATCTTTAACAAATTGTCTTTTGGTGGTATAAGGAGCCAAGTGTGAACTGGAGCTACATTATGAAGTTAGTGAACCCAGAAAAACAAACAAACATTTAATGCCTGCAAGTCCGCTCGCATTAGCCCTGAGATTTCTCCAGTGTGGAGCTGGCAGTTCTTTCTGATTGGCCTTGCCTTAGACACATTAGTTGCAACAGTGAAGTGTCTTGCTTTACAAACAAACTAGATTTCAACCAGAAGATAAGAGCTACTCTAGGCAGGTAGCTAAAGAATTTTTTGGGTGGCAAAAACAAGTGAAGTTTCACTAAGTATTAATATATTTCATCAACTTGCAGGCCTCTAATGCTGGGAATTAACAATTCATTGAACTCAGCTGTGATTGCTCTGGATTCAAGTAAAATTTAATAAACCATAAACTAAACGAAGTTTTCTTTTTAGCCAGATGAAGTGCATAATTTTCCTCCCTCAAGTATTGAATTCTGTTGATAGTAATGAGATTAAAAATTATTCACAGTTAATCTAAAAAAAAATATTTACCAAAAAAATCAATTTGAATGCAAATTGGAATGACTCTTCATTAAAATGAAAATACATGTAAGCTTGCAAATTTTACTTGCCACATATTGATTATGGAACACAGTTATCGAAACAAAACTTTTCATTATAGAAACAATAATGGTGGTTAAAATGGCTTTTAACAGCAACAGCACTAACCACAGTATTGTCTAAAGATTCACTGGGAAACTCTCTAAGAATATCTGCAGTTTTTGCTTGTGACTCTGGAGGCTTTGTGCAAAGCCTGTGCACGTACCCTGTTCACTCCAGATAGGCACCTCTGTGTTAACAAGCATCAGAGAAACTTCTTAATTTCACTTCTTTTATGACTTTGAAGTTCTAAGGCTGCCTCCTTGATGTGGCACATATATGTGTCACTGAGACCTAGCACAAGAGCAGGGAGAATTGACAATTGCAAGTGCAAAGCAGGAAGGAAAAAAAATTAATTAACGAGATCATGGTTTTAAAATTTCATAATTGTGTAGCTTCCCTACAAATCTAGGGAAAAACAAAACAAAACAAAAACAAACAAACAAACAAAAAACAAAAACAATTGGTGATTGGTTGAAGCCCCAGGTTGATGGGTCTGAGCCTGAATTGTCAGTGTTCTGTTTTTGTATCATTCTGATTTGCTCATGGAATTTCAGGTTCTGGAAGAGAGCTATGGCAATATTATTTTAAAAAAGAGGATTAATGTGCTTCAAATTTAGTGCTGCGTTAATTGCAATATAATCTTTGTTTTATAAAGTTTCTAGTATCTACTATAAATTTTGTGACTTTGGTAACATTTCCTCTGGGAACATTTTTGGCCCTAATAAATTTAGCATCAACAGAAATGTTCCATCATTCAGTGTAATTGAGTTGGCCAATTAACTGTATGTAAAGGCCATGCCTACCAAATGCTGAATGTATGAAGTACACTGTTTGGCAGAAGCAAGGTCACCTGCTCCATATGTTTGCTTTCATTAATAATGTGCACATTTCATCTGAACATTAAGCTAAATTAACCTAATTATCTGTGACAGCTAATTTTCTTAGTGATAGGGAAGTGTTTAGGGAGTAGATTTTTAATATAGTGAAGGATCATCTATAAGTTAGAAATTGCAGCCTGAAAAATACATTAGTACTTGTGAGAAGAGCTCACCAAACAGGTCAGATGAGAGAGCAAATTAATAATTAAGAATGCGAGAATATATAGAAGAAATAGTTTCGGGCCTGGAGGAAATTGGAACTTCTATTTCATGTTTGTGTGGTTGTTGCTTTTGTGTATATATATATATATATATATATATTTTTTTTTTTTTTTTCTTGAGAGAGAGGGAGAATAATTCACAAGCAGAGGTCAACTGTTTTGTAAAGAAAATGCAGAACAAGTCTGGATGGCTTCTTAACTTTTCAGTGCCAGTCCCTAAGGACATGGGATGGGGATATTCATGTATCTTTAATGCATCTCTTACCAAAAATACTGGGGTTATGTTACTGAAAGTGTCTGAAATAGCATCTTATTCTAGGAAGTGTTAACAGGCAGTGTTATTCAGTTAACAGGCAGTTCTCATTTTCTCACTCCTCTCCCAGCTGCTGTAGCACAGCAGTTTTGTTCTCTCGTCTTTCAATCTGCTCTCCCACAGGCCCAAGCAGTGTCATTGGCTTAGCTCTGGCCAGCAGCAGGTCTCTTTTGAAGCAGCTGGAGCTGGCTCTTCTCTGGCATGGGGCAGCTGCTGGGGTGTTGTAGTGGGTTTACGTGGCAAGGCTTTGGTAGCAGGGGGCCATAGGGGTGGTTTCTGTGAGAAAGATCTAGAAGCCGCCCCATGTTTGGGAAGGGCCCCATTGTTTTCCAGATCTGAGCCAATAAGCGATGTTGTTTTGCGCCTCTGTGAGAGCATATTTAAGACAGGGAAAAAACTGCTGCGCCACACAGCAGCCGGGAGAGTCAAGGGAGTGAGAAACAGCCTTGCAGGTGCCAAGGTCAGTGTAGAAGGAGGGGGAGAGGTGCTCCAGGCGCCGGAGCAGAAGTCCCCTGCGGCCTGTGGTGAGGACCATGGTGAAGCAGGATGTCCCCCTGCAGCCCATGGAGTACCACGGTGGAGCAGGGTTCCACGCTGCAGCCCGTGGAGGAGACCACGGTGGAGCAGGTGGCCCTGCACTGATGGAGGCTGCCGCCTGTGGAAGACCCCTGCCGGAGCAGATTCCGGGCCGGACCTGTAGCCCGTGGAGAGGAGCCCACGCAGGAGCAGGTGATCTGGCAGGAGCTGCTGCCCGTAGGGGAGCCAGGTTGGAGCAGTTTTCTCCTGAGGGATGGACCCCGTGGTACGGACCCATATCTGGAGCAGTTCTGGAAGAGCTGCTGCCTGTGGGAAGCCCACGCCGGATCAGTTCGTCAAGGACTGCATCCCGTGGGTGGGACCCCACAGCACAGGGGACGAGAGTGACCGAGAAGGAGCGGCAGAGAAGAAGTGCTGTAGACTGACCATAACCCCATTCCCCCGTTCCCCTGTGCCGCTCGGGGGGAGGAGGTGGAAGAGGGTGGATGGGGGGAGGCGCTTTTGGTTTCTTTCCTTTGTTTCTCACTTCTCTAGCTTGTTAGTAATGAGCAATAAATCTTACTATCTGTCTTCTTATGCTGAGTCTGGTTTGCCCGTTACACTAATTATTGCGTGATTTTCTCGTCCTTATCTCAATCCTTGAGCCCCTTTCACATATTTTCTCCCCATTCCTCTTTGAGGAGGGGGAGTGAGAGAGCGGCTGTGGTGGAGCTCGGCTGCCCACTCGAGCGGAACCACGACAGTCCTTTTTGGCGCCCAACGTGGGGCTCGAGGAATTTGAGATAAGGATGATAGTTGGTAGAAGTAACGGGCAAAATATGCGCAAGATGATTGTTAAGAATGTACAAGTTGTGAAGAATTTAAGAAAGCAGTAACTGTGAGATGTTAGTGTGGTGAAGGGACGAGGGGTGGTGTGTGTGTAAAATGTCCACCTTGTCGGTGCTGTGATGATGTTATGTTTATTTTGGTGTGGTGAATTTTGTTTTCTTTTTGATTTAAGTGAAATTTGTGAAAGTTGTTGTGATAATTGTAAAGTAAGAGTATATTGTGAGTAATCTTAAATATGCTTTTCACAGAGGCGAGGGGTGGAATGTAGTGGGTTTACGTGGCAAGGCTTTGGTAGCAGGGGGCCATAGGGGTGGTTTCTGTGAGAAAGATCTAGAAGCCGCCCCATGTTTGGGAAGGGCCCCATTGTTTTCCAGATCTGAGCCAATAAGCGATGTTGTTTTGCGCCTCTGTGAGAGCATATTTAAGACAGGGAAAAAACTGCTGCGCCACACAGCAGCCGGGAGAGTCAAGGGAGTGAGAAACAGCCTTGCAGGTGCCAAGGTCAGTGTAGAAGGAGGGGGAGAGGTGCTCCAGGCGCCGGAGCAGAAGTCCCCTGCGGCCTGTGGTGAGGACCATGGTGAAGCAGGATGTCCCCCTGCAGCCCATGGAGTACCACGGTGGAGCAGGGTTCCACGCTGCAGCCCGTGGAGGAGACCACGGTGGAGCAGGTGGCCCTGCACTGATGGAGGCTGCCGCCTGTGGAAGACCCCTGCCGGAGCAGATTCCGGGCCGGACCTGTAGCCCGTGGAGAGGAGCCCACGCAGGAGCAGGTGATCTGGCAGGAGCTGCTGCCCGTAGGGGAGCCAGGTTGGAGCAGTTTTCTCCTGAGGGATGGACCCCGTGGTACGGACCCATATCTGGAGCAGTTCTGGAAGAGCTGCTGCCTGTGGGAAGCCCACGCCGGATCAGTTCGTCAAGGACTGCATCCCGTGGGTGGGACCCCACAGCACAGGGGACGAGAGTGACCGAGAAGGAGCGGCAGAGAAGAAGTGCTGTAGACTGACCATAACCCCATTCCCCCGTTCCCCTGTGCCGCTCGGGGGGAGGAGGTGGAAGAGGGTGGATGGGGGGAGGCGCTTTTGGTTTCTTTCCTTTGTTTCTCACTTCTCTAGCTTGTTAGTAATGAGCAATAAATCTTACTATCTGTCTTCTTATGCTGAGTCTGGTTTGCCCGTTACACTAATTATTGCGTGATTTTCTCGTCCTTATCTCAATCCTTGAGCCCCTTTCACATATTTTCTCCCCATTCCTCTTTGAGGAGGGGGAGTGAGAGAGCGGCTGTGGTGGAGCTCGGCTGCCCACTCGAGCGGAACCACGACAGGTGTGCACACAGCCCTTGAAGTGTCCCACTTTACCTTCATCCTACTCTTTGCCAGTCTTCACTTCATTTTGCATCTCTCACTGCTCATCAGCATTCCTTCCTGGCAAATTCCCAGAGGGTGTAGATGGAAATGTGACAACATGCACATTTTGAAAGTTCAACAGAGTTAAGGGAGCAGTTCATTCCACTTTGGTTTACCAAGTAGAATAAATTTCAGAAACAATGGTCTCTCTTACTGAAACTGTTTTTATTTGATGCAGTAAAGTTGCTACTGTTTTTTTTTATAAGTGTTTTAATTAAATGCTATTTTCTAAGGCTTGAGATATCAATGGGATATCTTCTAGTAACCCAGTGATGACAGCATCTTTTGCTTTTGTAGCATGGACAGATATTTATTTTTTATGTAAAACAAGGTAGCTGACATAATTAGACAGCAATTTGTGACTTCAAATGTAAACATTTTAGGAGCTACAGAATAAGAAGTGGGTGCTAATTAGAGAGCTGTTAGCCAAACATATATAATTGGGTACAGACTGACAGACTATTCCAAACAGCAGGCTATTTATAACTCCACACTGCTTTAAAATTATATTTTGTTTAAAAGACTTTGGACAATGCATAACAGGAGAGTTTGATGATTAGATTTGCACTTTAATTTCTTTAAATAAAGTGAAACCTTGCAAATGTGAATGCTACACAGGCTAGCTGTGATAATTAAAAAGTATTAACTAGATGACTTTGAGGCTGAACCATTTTCTAATTTCTTTAGGAGTGGGGACTCCCTGAAGAGAATTGTAAATTCAAGTATTACTTAATTATGCTTTTAACAATAAAGGGCAGTTTAATCAGCAGCCTCTCAAAAGCCCTTGTCTTGTAGTCATTTATTCCAACAATGAAAATGTCAAGAGATACTTACATTATAAAGTCTTCTGAAAGTACAGTGTACCTATTCACAGGCCCTAACTTTTAGTATAGCTGTTCCTATGGACATTTACCTTTCAATATCCATACAAAATTATTAGTTTAACTGTTTTCAGATAACTGAAGTGTGATTTACTACAAGGTTTTTTTCCTTTTTAAAGGAAAACTTAGAAGATATTTGGGCATTGTGATCATTCTTATGAATAGGGTTGAGAATGTGAATTCCAATAATTACCCTTTAAAGAATGTATTATGTTTCAGAGGCTGGGAAAGCTAAATGTACTCCGGAAACAATTTTAAAGCTTAATAGGAGTTTTTATCTAGATCTTAAAGGGAAATATATGTTAGTTTCTTTTTAGGAGAAGTCATATGAGTTTCTACACGCTCATTTTGAAAATACGTGCTTATACTAACACTGTTTAGATCTCTGGTTGGTAAATTTAAATAACTTACCCTGTAGTAAAAGAGACTACAACAAAGATACTAGTCTCTATTGCACTATGTTTTCCAGTATGCACTTTTTAGTATTTTGTTTTGTTTTATTCTTCTCCATGTGTTTTTTAACCCCTTGATGTAGTATTTCACATCTTATTTTATTCTAGAAGAATAAGTGAACTGAGTGGGGAGAAGAACTGGCCACATAAAATCCTGAACAAGCAATTTTATTGAAGAAACTAGACAAGACAGAAACTACTTTCTTGTAAGTGTGACTCTACATTATATTTCTCCTAGATAATTCTGTTCAAACCTAGTCAATATTTTGGCTTCTTAAATGTGTATGATTCCAGATTAACTGAACACAGTTAGTAAATTGTATAGATTTGCACTGGTATTACTGAGAGAATCTTTTTGAACCAAAAGCTCTATAAGTCTTGGTGGTCCTGGACTGATCAAAATTGCTAGTTAAATTTAAGCTACCTTAAGATCTCGATGTTTGTCTTAGTGACCTTGCCATATATCTTTGAGTATGGACTTACATTTTGTTGACATTGTGGCATTTTGATTAATTACCCCATAGCTGAAACATGGTGATAAAAATGTTTCTTTGACTTATTTCTGTTATATCAGTACCTGTTCAATAATACTTGATTCTGATATGTCATGAACTTCTGTAATTGTAAAGGATAAGTTGGAGGTTCATTTAGACATCCAGAGTCTCCCTATAAAAAGAGAAAACAACAAAAAAATAAAAATAGAGAAGCCTTTCTTTAAACCCCTACATTTAACATCTGTTTAAAGATGACAGAAATTATAGACTTTAAGGAATTAACATAATACAAAGTAAAATTGACAAAATTTTAATGACTATATCTGTAGTTAGTGCTGGAAAAAGTGGTATTGTTTTTTGTTCAGGAAGCAGAATTGCTATTCAGAAAATGAATCATCCTGATGTAGAAGCCAAAGGCAGAAACAGCAGATTTAAACCATAATGCTCTTAGATTTCTCAGTTCTGCTGTGAATCAATCACACATTGACAAGATCGTGCAGGTACAATGACGAAGAGCATGACACAGCTCTTCTGGCAATGTCACCTCTGCTAGGAGCTGCTAAGACTATTTATACATAAACTGGGATTCTAGTTGGATAGCAGCGTTCCCTTAGTTTTAGCTTTGCTAATGAAAGAGAGCTAGTTCAAATAAAACACAAACCCCAGAGACTCTTGTTTTCATTTAAGTGTGTTTTTATTAAGCTTGACAGCTGAAGCTATCAAATAATCTTACTGTTTTAAGCTTTCTAAAACTAAAGACAAAATCCTGTCACATACTCAGAGAACATGTGTACAGATGCAAGCCTTATCAGTTCCTTCTTAAGTTAATAGGAAGTTGATCAAACTCTAGAATGATGTGAGAGATCTCTCAAAACACAGTAACATTTCAGAAGAAGGTAACTTTTTAAACCCCTTTGTGATCAGATGTCTAAACTAAAGGCAGCATAAGAATGGTTCATTTAGGACATATATGATTTGAGTAGTACACTGAGAGATGTGTAAGAAGAGTTTGGCAGTTCTGGGTGTTATGTCATTGGACAGTTCTGTAAAATAAGTCTTACCACTGGAAGCATATGACAAGGTTCTCTTAATCGGATTCTCTTGATTCATTATTGCTGAAAAAGAAAATTAATAGTCGATTAATGATGGCTGCTTCTATCAAAATGCAGAGTAATGGTTATTCTTAATCTGTGGTGCTTGAGGGAAGGATGAGACTTCACCAAAATTTTATTACAACAATTTTTATTGCATTTACTATGTCACTTTCTATCCTTCGGTGGTCTTAAGTTGTTTTGCCTTTAACTGTAGCTTTCCTAATTGAAATAACACATTTTTTGAAAGTAAAATTTGAATACAAATTGTTCAATATTGAACAGTGCTTTCCAATTACAAATCTAGAAAAAAATTAAAGGGAAAGTTGAATATTTTTCTTTGCTGTTTTGACAGTTTATTTTTCCTTGACACTCTTAATTCTCTCATTAAAGGTCCCTGGCTTATTTTAGCCTTTTCCCATTTCCACTGCTTATCCAAGGGTTTAGTTGATTGTTGTTGTTGTTGTTGATTTGTTTTAAACTATTTTGTTTTCAGTTTTATTTATAACAAAGACAACTTTGGACATGTATAGTTTCTCATTTGCCATTTCTAGTTTAAATGTGCAAACACTGGAAGAATTTAAGAATGTAGATCACAAGTTTCATAACTATGAATTCATAGTGCTTGCTGTTAAGCACTCATTTCCAGACATCTAAAAACCAACTGATTTCAGACTTGCAAGGCCTTAAAAAAAATCCGATGCTTTTCAGATTATGTTAGTGTTCTGACATTCCTGTTCTGCGTTAGAATAAAAAATAAACCTTATTACCTTTTTCACAAGCAGTTAATTATGAAAGCAGTGGGAGAAATTAGACTTGTTTACAATCTATGGTTAGATTCTCTTATCTAAAAAGGCAAATCAGCAAATGCAGATTAAAGTTTTTCTTGTGTTTGGGATGTTCATAACCCTTTCTCTGGTATATGATGAGAGTTGGATTCATATTGCAGGCTTTAATAAAGCATCTAAGAACGTAATTAACTTTGAGATGCCAATCCAGTTATTGTTGATTGAACTTGGCAGATAAATTCAGAGATTTCAGATGCACAGGTGGGCAGATGTGAATACATGCAGAAATGCACGTGCCCTCAGAATGTGCTAATTTGCCTAGTTTACTTAATCTCATGATAAAGACAGATTGAGAGACAGACACAAAATTATGAGCAATAATCTCACTAAGCAGTTGTGTGCCATACAAAATACTGAAGTTCATGTTATTAATGATGCAATACACAAGTTACAAATTAGGTTTCTCTTGTAAATTCCTGAATAAAATGGCTGTCCTGGTGTTGATGTGTATATCTAATAACATGAAAAACTTTCCACAAAATTTACTGCAAAAGTATTGGTTTCTTACTTTTGGGTTGTGATGAGGAAAAAGAAACACTCCATAGTCCTTAAAAGTGGGTCTAGATGGATCCATTTGGACTAGGCAAGCACATTTGACCACATTAATGACTGGGTTATTTAAAAAATACAGGAAACAGATCAATTTCTTCATCCGAATAAGCATATGATAAAGGAAACTATTCTAATTACTAATGAAAGGGCAGCTGAGCCATTTGAATGAGAAGTCAGTTCTCTCTTCAGACACTTCTTTATCTTTGAATCTCCTGTCTTCAGTCTCCATTTTTGATTCATATTTTGTTTTCATCTCTCCATTAACATTTCCCTCTTCACACATTAAACACAGTTTTGTGAATGTATTCTTGGAATTCTACCTGAGATAGCCTATTAAGCATTATAATTAGTCATGACATCATTAATAAACTGGAAAAGGCCAGTTATGATGCATCTGTGAACAGTAATGAATTCTAGAAACTCAGATATTATAAACAAAATATATTAAACATTTTATAGTATAAAATATGCTGTAGGGACATTACAAAATGAATGAATTTGTTGATAATATTGTAGATATGAAGTTTAAAAATTGGGCAGTGTATGTTTTCCACAAAAAAAAATATTCTGGTTTAATTAAAAAAAAAAAAAAGTGCAAATAGGCAATGAAAGGTACTTAGAACCCTCACAATTTATATTTTCTCTTCACCTAATGGTATTTTTAGTATGTGTGAAAGAAGAAACCAGACTAAAAATAGTATTAACTCCATAATTGAAAGATTTTGATTTGCCAGAATGGAAATTTCATAGAAAAGGTAAAGACGTTAGGTATTTTAATTTTGTTTTTAAACTTCAAAATTTGTCAGACCTAAAAAACAAAAACACCACCACCACCAAAAACCAATTTCCAGTGATGTCAATAACTAGCTAATCAATGCTTAAAGATTCACATCCCTTCTTCCCCAATCTAGAAAGATTTACATACATTGTTATTTCTTTTTATTAAATTACAAATATAGTTTTATATTTTGTTCAGTACACTTTACTTTTTTTCTTTCTTAATGAAGCTGTTTTTAAAGGTAAGGTTATAAGTGTTTTGTGATGAACTGTAAGCAGTAGTTTGATTCAAGCCAGTGGTTGTGGTCCCTCTTTCAGAGAGTCTGCTGAATTTGCTCCTGGAGTTTGTCTTGCTAAATGTTTGCACGGTTGCCATTAAACAGTGCCTTTTGGAAACTTTTTGGAGCAATCTGGTGTGCCTTTCATTTAATACCGACCTCATTGGGATGTTTATACAAAAGGGCACATTTAGCCTAGACTTAAAAATTCTTGACATTAAGCTATGCCTCCTTGAAAATAAAGCATGATTTTTTTTTTTTTTTTTTTGGTGTTGGGATTGGATCCTTGTGCTGGGAGGCTTTATTTAAATAACTAAGCTGTCCAGGTTTAGAATACGATTTTTGTCATCCTAAATTTTGTGCTATGCATGAACGATAATTTACTAAATCTAGTTAAAAAAAATAAATAAATCTGGATGCCTTCTAGTAACTGGAGCTTTATTTAGAATTTTTGATTTTGCTCTTACATCTTAATATACTTGCAGTCTAGTGTATAAGTATGAGTATACTACGAAACTGGGCTTTTCTTTTACTTTAGTATAAATAAATTTTGAATTTACATTGAAGTGCACTCAGATTGAATGGATCGTACCGACTGTGTGATTGCAATGGTTATCAAGCCTTTTTGATTTGTGCATCCCATTAGTAAAAATCAATAAATTCCGAGCATTCACCCACAATATGTGTATATGTACACCACTGTTTTATGCACATTATAAAATATAAACATAGAAATTTAAAAACCTGAAAATAAACAATCATAAGAAAATATTATTAAATTACTTTTGAGAGCAAAAAGATTAAATACTGTTAAAATTAGATTAAAAGATTAAATACTGTTAAACGCTTTGTGACACAGTGATTCAAAGGTTAGGTACCAAATTCAGTTTACTTTAATAGTTGGTTTTAATGGTTGTTGTAGATGAAAAAGCTGCCTAATAAAAGACACATAGATACAAACAGAAGTGCATTGTTGGCTATGTTTACAAAATTGTAATATTCATTTTTGAATCCTATCCACCATGTGAGAGTTTTTATTGAAGTTTGGCTAGTAAATTTCTATCCTCCCTGATGCCAACCAGTTGCTCTGACAATGCAGTCAAAAACAGTCAAAAAGTGTTTTCATTGTCTTTACTTATCTGAAAAATTGCTCTCTTTGTCCTCCT